GCAGATCGACCTTTTTTTTTCATCGTTATAATATTTTAAATCCAATTTAAAAACCATATAATATGTAAATATTATCATATAATTATAGCTTTAATTAATTTAAAACAAATGTTTGTAAAATGTTGACGTGTTTATTTAAAAATCTAAAATGCTCTTTTAATCATTTCTAAAAGATTGTTTGAAAAAATATTGAGAGTGAGTATATAAAGGACATTTTCTATCTTAAAAAATCACTTGTTTCGCTATGAGAGCTTTCGTTATCTTTGCTATTATCGCTTGCGTCTTCGCTGCTCGTGAAGGTGTTTTGTTTGTTGTCGTGGACATTATATGCTTTAATAATTAATGAATAGGATTTGCAACCTTTGCAAGGACACAGTCGACATGCTCGAGAAGTTGCTTGTTGTTGATGGAGCTGATGCCGTCAGACAATACATCACCGAACTCTGTGATGGCGTTTCTGGATTCCTTGGAACTCTTTGCACTTCATTCTTGAACTTCGGTGTTGACGAAATCATCAAGATGATCGAAAACAATGTCGACAAGGTCACCATTTGCCAGAACCTCGGAGCTTGCTAATTCACTTTGTCTTTTGACTTTACATATTAGTTGAATAACTCACTTTATGTTTTTAATATTTTATGATGTAATAACGTGATTCTTATGTTTCGATAACCAATTTAAAAAAAGTTAAAAGAGTGAATATTGATCTATAAATTCATTAAAGGTAACTATACATTTGAGTTGTTAGTATCTATTAGATTGTTAATAAATAATAAGAAGCATTTGTGGTCTAAGGGCAGAATTCCACCCTTCCAAGGTGGAGATCCGGGTTCGAGTCCCGGCAAATGCACTTTTATTATTATGGTGTTGTATTTCTTTAAATTTTTTGAATGACTCAAAAAATATAAATGTTGTTTTTTTATTTATTTGAATACTATATAACACATAATGGTACTTATAGTACGTCCAAATTTGTCATCTATTGAATTTAAATTTAATTTTCGACGTCCATCAATAGACAATATAATTAATTTTGCTTTATCATATACATTTTTTAATTCATATAGAAATTACTTTATTTATAAGTAAATGAAAATAATTAATTTAAATGTATTTTATTTTCATGTTCAAAAGTTTGTTATCTAACTTGTATCTTTGGTATATCATCGCACAAACTGAAATATATTATAAAACATCATAACATAGGAAATCTAATACAAATAAGCAAATTTGACGTTATAACCATCTATAATCAAAACAAATACAAATTAATTATGTTACAATGACATAAAATTTCCAAATAAAACGTTGAGTCAAAGTAATTCTCAAGTTTGTTATTACTTTAAGAGTTATTTCATGGTTCTGAATATAATTAAACATTTCATAATAACATTTCGATCAAATAACTCAAAAAAAATCTTTTTTTTAACTGGAATTATAACTAATATTAATAATTGGTATAATAAAAACTAATTGTAAACCTATTTATTGATAATAAAAAAATCGAAAAAAAATAGATAAAATCGAATAATTAATTTATTTTATGAAATAAAAGTCGACTCTTATAACTGAATAATGATTATGATATTTTTACTTCTTATTGTGTTTTCTCATGGAATTGATATCTTCATTTCTACAGAGGGACAAGATTATTATGACGGTTCTTATAACAAACCTTATAGAACAGTGCAAGCTGCCATTGATTCATTTACAAAAAAAGAGTTACCAACAGAAGGAGTTACTTTTAAATTGTCTCCAGGATATCATAAAATGATAAATAAAACACTAACTATCACACTTAACAATTTGAACAACACAAACAATGTCCCTCTTAAGTTTACAAACACTTTTCCAAATAAAAAAGCCACTTTAGTTGGAGGAACCCAAATCCCATTTGCAGCCTTCAGAAAATTAGACGAACAAAAAGACTCAAAGCAGTTCAACAAAATACAAGAAAGTGTCCGTTCGCAAGTGCAAGTTTGTGATTTGAACACTTTAGACGACAAAATCAATTTGATTGACTTAGCTGAACTGAAGACAACTGAACTTTTTGTTGATGACAGTAGAATGAAGATAGCGCGATATCCAAATAAAGATGTCACTTCAAATGATAACAAGACAGACTCCATATATGTGGTAAAAGGAACGTTCTCTCCAGATGTTTCTGGTTATTATCGAACGTCTTCAAAACGATGTGATGGGGAAATGGTATACCAAAAGACAGTTGCTGTCAATAGTAAAACTTATTATATTTACACGACAAATGGAACTTATTACCTATCAACAAGAAGTGATTGTAAAGTACCAGTAATTACAGATGGCGCTTCTTGGAGCTCGAAGAGAGACTCTTTAGCTGGAAATATTAGTCCATTGGCAAATTCAGGAGCAAGTGGCATTGTCAATATACCAGATGAGGGATACATATACAGAGGATTCATGTTTACTGCTTTTGCAGATACAACAACAACAGATACAAAGGAGTTTGGGTATAACAACGACCGAATTAATAACTGGAAATACACCAAAAATATGTGGGTGAAGGGGTATTTCAAGTATATGTGGGCGGACAACACTGCTCAGATTGTTAGTATTGATACAACAAAGCGAACCATCACACTTGATAAGAAAGCAACATATGGGATATTCCCCGAAAAGCCATTCTTTGTGTATAATTTGATTGAAGAATTGGATGAAGAAGGTGAATATTATATAGATAGAGAAGACATGAAGATATATGTTATATTTTATGGACATCCCAAAGAAATTTGGATATCACATTCAATAAAGGAAGCACTCAAAATCGATAAAGTTGGGAATGTCGAATTGACTAATTTGGATTTCAAATACTTTCCTTGTGGTATTGGAAATGTTAACAGTGACAATGTGAAAATCAGTGGGTGTACATTCTCACACTCAAGTGACATTGGAATTGAATTTTATGGGAAAAATCATATGATTGTTAATAACACATTCCTCGACTTTTCGGCAACAATTTTGTCAATAAATTGTGGGGTGAGAGCAACTCTTGAATACGGGAATTGCATTGTGAAAGATAACACATTTTCTGTGTTTTCACAAGGACATTACACGTACAAACCTGCCATAATACTCAACGGAGTTGGTAATAAAGCGACTCATAATTATATTGAAGACAGTCCACATGAAGCAATTAAGTACAGTGGTAATGAAAATGAGATCAGTTACAATATAATAAAAAACGTGTGTTTATATGCAAGTGATGCAGGTGCAATATACTCTGGACGCAGATGGGATTACAGAGGCAATGTAATTAAATACAATCGAATATACAACTTGACTGGATGGGGGAAATCAAATTCGTATGTGCAAGGGATATACATGGATGGGATATTAGCTGGTGACAAAGTGTATGGCAACATCTTAAACAAGATCAATGGGAAATGTATATTACATGGAGGTGGACGTGATGTTGAAGTAACAAATAACATTATGTACGATTGTTATGTGGCATTTTTGGAATACAATGGAGGGCCTACTTATTATTCAACAAAGAGTGGAGACTCATGGAATCTGCTTGAAAGGTGCAGTGATGAAAATGTGAATAGACTTGTAGATCCATGGAAGAGTAGATATCCATTGTTGTATAAAATACCAAACGACAACAATAGAATTATTAATGAAAAGAATTGGCTACAACCAGAGAACACAGTGGTCGATTGTAACGTTATATATAAAACAGTTAAAACTGATTTTGAAGGTAACAATTTACTCTATGACTATTTCAAAACATTCAATGATCATAAATACAATTCAAGCATTGACCCATTATTCGTAGACCCCGAAAATCAAAATTTCAAACTGAAAGAACACTCCCCTGTTTATGATATGGGTTGTTGGAAGGAAATTCCCTATGACGAAATTGGGATCACAAAGAGTGGTGCTTCAAGTGTTGGACATTTGGTTCTTATCTTCACAGTAATATTTATAATTATTTAGTTTTTAACTATTTTTATTATGTTGGGTTGGATTTATTTATGTTGTTATTATGCTAAGACTTACTCAAACATGAAAGCAATAAATTATAAATAAATTACAGTTGGTAGGAATAAAATAATAAATAAAATAATGTATACGTTACAACTTTAAAATCATTGATATAAAGAAATGTGTTAAAAAAGACTTAATAATATGTTGTTACAACTTGATTATCTTTTCAACATTATTATGTCTTAAGAAGCTACTTACAAAAAGTTAAAAGAGTGATTATCAGTCTATAAATTCATTAAAAATAACTATACATTTGAGTTGTTAGTATCTATTAGATTGTTAATAAATAATAAGAAGCATTTGTGGTCTAAGGGCAGAATTCCACCCTTCCAAGGTGGAGATCCGGGTTCGAGTCCCGGCAAATGCACTTTTATTATTATGGTGTTGTATTTCTTTAAATTAAATAATCACTAATTAAATTATAATAAAAATCAATAGTATGTATATAAATAAAAATCTAAAAATTATTCATATTATAATTTTACACAGTCTTTTCAAATATAAATATGTTTAATTTGTTTTAAATAATTATCTTTTATTAAATTTTTATAATTTAAAAATTATTATTAAATTAATTTATTATCTTGAACTAAATATAAATATTTTATAGATTGTATTAAATAATCTAATTATATTAAATTATAATAATTATTATAAAATAATAAACCAAGTTGATCTGTAAATTTTATCTTTAATAAGATCAATTTACGCCTCTAATTTTTAAAACAAGTTGGCTATTTAAGTTGGTATATCTGTTAATTTAATTCAAATGGGAGAAGAAGGAGAAGTACAAGCACTTGTCGTAGACAATGGATCTGGTATGTGCAAGGCCGGTTTTGCTGGTGATGACGCCCCAAGAGCTGTCTTCCCATCAATTGTTGGCAGACCAAAACAAGTCTCAGTCATGGCTGGTATGGGCAACAAGGACACCTATGTTGGAGATGAAGCACAATCAAAGAGAGGTATCTTGACTTTGAAATACCCAATTGAGCACGGTATTGTCAACAACTGGGACGATATGGAGAAGATCTGGCACCACACTTTCTACAACGAGCTCAGAATTGCACCAGAAGAGCACCCAGTCCTCTTGACTGAAGCCCCAATGAACCCAAAGGCTAACAGAGAAAAGATGACACAAATCATGTTCGAGACTTTCAACGTCCCAGCCATGTACGTTGGAATTCAAGCTGTCCTTTCATTGTATGCCTCTGGTAGAACAACTGGTATTGTCATGGATTCTGGTGATGGTGTTTCTCACTGCGTCCCAATCTATGAAGGTTTCTCACTCCCACACGCCATCCTCAGAATTGATCTTGCTGGTCGTGATCTCACTGACTACCTCATGAAGATCTTGACTGAAAGAGGTTATGCTTTCACCACAACTGCTGAAAGAGAAATTGTCAGAGACATCAAGGAGAAGCTCTGCTATGTTGCTCTTGACTTCAACGAAGAAATGCAAAAGGCTGCTTCATCATCAGAACTCGAGAAATCATACGAACTTCCAGATGGTCAAGTCATCACCATCGGAAACGAGAGATTCAGATGCCCAGAAGCACTCTTCCAGCCATCATTCCTTGGTATGGAAGCATCAGGTATTCACGAGACAACTTACAACTCAATCATGAAGTGTGATGTCGATATCAGAAAGGACTTGTACGGAAACATCGTCTTGTCTGGTGGAACATCAATGTACCCAGGCATCAACGACAGACTTGAGAAGGAGATGGTTGCACTTGCACCACCAACAATGAAGATCAAGGTCATTGCACCACCAGAGAGAAAGTACTCTGTCTGGATTGGAGGTTCAATTCTTGCCTCGTTGTCCACTTTCCAGAACATGTGGATCACCAAGGAAGAGTACGACGAGTCTGGCCCAGCCATCGTCCACAGAAAGTGCTTCTAATCTATTTTCATGTCTTATTCCTTTACTATTTTACAAAATTATTATTAAAAATTTACTTATAATTTTATACACAATGTAAATTGAATAAATTTTATTGAGTCAGTTAATGTTATACACTTTACGATTATTAAATTTGTTATTATTTTTTACACCTTTTGGGTACAATTGCTTAATTATTTTTTTCTTAATTAATTCCTTATTTGTTTTTAAAATAACATTTTAAATTGTAATTTGAATTATTAATTTTTATATTAAATATATAATTTAATCAAATTACAGTTGTTTGTTTGTCAATTTCTAAAATTAATAACAAAAAAAAATAAAATATTATATTCAATTATATGATTATTATAATAATAATAACATTACTTTATATATAATAATTCATTATTAAATTTTAATTTCATTGTTTTTATAACTTGAATATATCGGAATGATGTTTTTTTTTCTTTTTTATTTTTACTATAAATTTATATGAAAAAAAAAACAATAGTATAAACTCATTGTAAATAACCGATAAAATTATTTGAGTTTACAAAAACAACACAAAACTGTTATATTAAAATATACATTATGATTATAACTATATATTTTAATTTATTTATTATAATTTTTAATTAATAATAATCAATTAATAATAGACAACATTTGTGGTTCATTTTTATATAAAAAATTGATTGAATTTTAGATACAACAATTGTTAATTTAAACTTAAAAACAAGAAAATACATTCAATGAGTATCAAAATTACCAACATCAGGTTTCCTTCTTCTACGTCTAAAGCTCCTGTACCTCCGACACTGTCAAACAACCCAACTCCTAAATTCACTTGTACACAACCAGTTGTCACGCAACCAATCAATACATCAAACGTCTATACTCCAAGTCAACATCCAATTGCAACACCATCAACTTACTCATCAAACGTCTATACTCCAGGGCAACATACAACTTTAACACAACCAATTAACTCATCAAATGTCTTTACTCCAGGTAACCTTTCAACACAACCAACCTACTGTGTCCAACCCACCCCTCCAACCCAGCCAAATGTATATCCTTCGACAACTCTTCCTTACTCAGTTGCACAACCAACTCAACAACCATCTGTAACGACTCAGCGTTACAGCCAACAGAACATAAATAGTTATACATCCAGCACTCCCCAATTTCGTCAAAGTCTGACAGCAAGCGCACCACAAAATCCTTTCATACAGGAGAATTATGTTGCTACATCATCACCTATAATGAACCTTCAAGATCTTATGAAGTCGGTTGGTATGGATGCTATTCCTCCTTCCACACCCACTCCGTTGCCAGATACTATAACAAATGAAAAGCTATTGGAACTTGTAAAGCAGGCACTTCCTTCCCTTTTAGAAGATAAGAAAAGACTATTCTCAATGCTTGTCGTTCGATATGAAGCATTACTTAAGAACCAAAAAACAACACAAGTGACTGCTACTCTGACGCCACAGGGTGTCAAAGGGATACAACCCGGCGTTACTATTACACCGAAAAAGATGGAAATAAAACTTGACCCAAAAGAACAAAACCAAACTTCTGCAAGTGTCCAAAATCCAATTATTAAGGCGAGCATTTCTAAAGACAATGTCAAAACACCAAATGCCCAACAGAATGTACAACAGAAAGTTATACAAAAGGCACCACAAAAGTCGGAAACGCCACCCGAAGCGACACCGAAAGTCTATACTTACTCTGAAGTGGAAGAAAAAATGACTTTATTAGCACAAATGGTGTTGGACAAGCGAGTTGAATTTATTTCTAAGAAACGCAAAGCAGAAGTTTTGTTTGATAGTAAAGAGAAAAGTTTAACACGACCTTTGTTCTGTTCTGCGATCAAAGGCAAGAAAAGTGTTGTACTCTTGATGAGAATGACAAACAAAAATTGTTATGTCGTTCACTTTGGGAATATTCCATCGGAATACGCGAATGATTGGGTTGAAATGGACAACTTCTGTATCTTCAAATTGTTTGCAAAAGGAAAGAATTGTTGGAACATGTGGAAACAGAACCCATCGGATAAGAAAGCAATCGATTTCACTGATCCATCACAAGTTTATAATTCAGATGAAGTGTTCAACGCTTACATTTCGTTCGTTGTTCACAAAAATAGAAAGGTCGAGTGGGATGAAGACTTCTCTACTGCTTTTAGACCGGAGATATTAAATGGGTTTGTAAAAGGGGATATGCCATCGGGTGAAGAGAAACTTGAACAAATCGTTGCCGTGTCATTCACATAAATGAGTTATTTTTTCCATTTAATTTTTAAATATTATAGTATAATTATAATAACAAAATAATAAATTATAATAACAAAATATACATATAATGAAGTTTGTAATGGATGGATTTTAATAGATTTTATATAATCTATTAATTTATTTTTATTATTTACATGTTATAAAAGTATTATTAAAAAAATAATATTCATAGAATGGTATTAATATAGAATAATATAGTATAAAAAAATTGTTATGAGTCTTGAAGAGATAATCCTTCTGTAGAGTTATTTTTACAATAAAAATATTGAAAAAATATTGAAAATATCCAAGAAAAATACAAAGGATACAAAAATAATGAACTTTCTATTAGATATGGTATTATTGTTACTACTTCAAATATATTCTGTTTCTTCTTATTGGTGTGATGTAAAACAGAACGGAACGATATCATTTGTTGAAGAATCGTGTGCAACGGAAAAGAGTTGGAGTGTGACTTATACGGCTGGCTTTTATGAAGTTTTATTGAAGGATACATGTTGTATTAACGAATCAGTGGTATTTGATGACAGGGGTTTTAAGACTGCTGAAACTTATGTTTTTCCTATTGAACAAACGAACATGAAGTTGTTTTCTATTAAAACGAAGTTTAACAACACACATCTTGTTTTTTATCCATCAAATAAAGATTATTTGTCAGTCTTTTTGAAGTGTTTAAACGAGGAAATCAATTGCAGGACTTACGTTGAAGATGTTGCTGGAGTCATGATAATCCAATACAAAACTGAATTTCATATGTATTCAAACATTGATCAAAAGTGGCTTATTGGTTATCAAGTGAATGAGAAATCACTTTATTTGTATATTGAAGGGAGCGTTAAACAGACAGTAAAGGCGCAATTTTTAGAGAATCAACAATTTGAAGGAAATTTGAATGAGAAGAGTTATTTGTTTACAGGAAAACTAATAGACGAGAATGTTTTAATTCAAACAGGCAATGAGACAAAGAGTATATATTTAGTACAGTCTGTGTGTGAAAGTAAAGGTACTAAGCGTTATATGATCTTTGAGGAAACATTTTCAACCAATTTCACTATCTATGAAAATACGAGGTGTGAATGTACTCCAAGTTCAAACAACATTACGAACTAGTTTAATTTCCCCGACTGTAGATATAACAACTCTTTATTTGATTTAAATACGACACATCTCCCTATCAATAGCGAAGGAAATGAAGAAGTCAATATTAATCTAACGGGATGGTATTCATTGCTTTTGGATATAACAAAGAAGTACGTATTTGTCAAAGACCAAATTGGAAGGTTGACATTATCATATTTTACTATGGAAAGGGACACTAAAGTAACGTTTAAGTTATCTGTAACAATCCAAACTATAATAATCAAATCAATTGGAAAATTGATATTTGAAAACGATTTAATACTGTTACACTCAGAAGGGAGTGACAGTTTTGAAGGTCAAATATTGTTTACAGTTGGTAACTCCTTTTCGAATGTATCAGGATATTTAACCCAATGTGGCAAAAGAGTGGTAACAAAAAATTCGACATTGATGGCATGTAATTGTTATTATAAAAATGGTATTTATGAACCAAGTGGAGACAAAGAATTGAGCAGCAATGACTGTTTTGATGATACAAAAAATAAAACATTAAATTTGGTGTTTCAACAAGGAGAAGTGTATTACCCCCAAGTCGATGAAACATGGAGAGCTGTGATAACTTCCATTGAAAAGGTTTCAATAATTGGAAACAACTTGAAAGCAACTGGGAACTGTGAATTTGGTGGAGCTGTGAATGTGAGTACTTCATTGTCTTGTCTAAATTTTACAAGCACATCAAATACAAAAATTGTTATTGAAAAAGGTGCACAAGTCTCTTTCAAACGTTGGATACTTAAAGGCGACAACTATACAAGAAATACAAATGGGTTCATTCAGGTGCTTTCTGGTGGCATTTTTGATATTTTAAAACCATTTTCAGTTGAGAGTAGCTTCAATATAAGTTGTGTTGAACTTGTGTCGTTTGAAGATGAAATCGCTCAAAATTTGGAAAATGGAACAGTCAAACTCATTGGCAATAAACTCGTGAGATATTGTCAAACAGCTCCATTTGATGAGGAGATCGTTTGTATATTGAAAGATTCAGATATTAAAAAACACACAAGTTATGCTGGGAATATATTACACTGTCCAACAAACACAGAAAAGACAATAATTGTTATTAACACTACAAGTTTCCAAGATTTTGAGTTCAAAGGAAGTTATCAACAATTAACGACAACTGTTTTATTCAACAAAGTCACAACACAAATGTCAAATTTTGTCGACACCATAAAAACTGTTTTGTATCTTCAAAGTAGTGCAATACATGACTCTCAAATATCATTTGCAAAGTCACAAGAAAAACTATTTATAAGCGACATGTTGGGATTCTCCACTTCACGTGTAAAGACTGTGGAAAGTAAAGATGTGATTAATTGTAGTGTGACTGACAATTGTACTATTTTATTCAAGTCCCCTGGGTTCTCAAACAAATGTCTTTCTTGTCGAAACCAATTTTTACAAAGTGGTGAGTGCATTGATTTGGATGAAAAATGTAAACAGTTTTCAAATGTGAATTCAATTTGTGAAAATTGTATTCCTACATACGAAACAAGTGGCCATTCTTGTACATATTGTGGGTCAACTCATTGCAAACATTGTTCCAATGGTGAGTGTATTAATTGTGAAGATAATTACAAAGTGCAGAACAAACAATGTACTGATATTAATAGATACAATTCACAGTTATATTCAAGAAATTTGATGTTAAAATGTAAACAATCTTTTTATAATCTGAATGAAGAGTGTGTGCGTTGTGGAGAACGATGTCTACAATGTGAAAGTTACGAAAAATGTGTTGTGTGTGATTCGACTTCACTTTTAGTTGAAGGGAAGTGCATTCAAACATCAAATTTCATATTGAAATCAAAAGAAACTATTGTTCTCTGTGTGGATGGTTATTATCTTGATAAAGAAACACAAATGTGTATACATTGTACGATTAAATATGGGGATATGTGTTTGTCTTGTACAAATGAATGGTGTCAAAGATGTGAAAACGGTGTTTTGGTCAACGAAACAATGTGTAAGAATGTAACCGAAAGTGGATGTTTGAATACAGTAAATACACATTGCACTTCTTGTGTTGATAATTCACAATTTATTGACACAGAAGGGATGTGTTTATCAAATACAAACAATTGTGAAATAACAACAAAACATGGGAAGTGTGTGACTTGTCATGAAAATTACGTTCTTAACACAAACTTAAAATGTATTGAAGATGCTATTGGCATAGAAAATTGCATTATGTTGAATGTGCAACAAGACAGATGCATTAGGTGTAGAGATGGATATTTTTTAAACAACTTTATTTGTTCCAAATGTGGAGAAAACTGTTTGGCTTGTTCAAATGAAGTACGCCTCAAATATGATTCTACACACCGTTTAAATAACAGTGTATGTATTCCAATTTCTAACCAAGAAGATCACTGTAAAATATCAACAATAACAAGTTCAATTTGTGCAATTTGTGAAGATGGGTTCTTCAGAAATTCGAATGGTGTATGCGGCAATTGTATTTTGGGATGTCTTGATTGTAACACAGAAACAACTTGTTTGAATTGTGCGAGTAACAACTTTCTATTAACAAATTCATCTGGGTGTGTCTCATATGATTTCCTCACGAATTGTGAAACGAAGAGTTCTTCGGGGTGTTCACAATGTAGCAGTGGCTATTTCATTCAAAATCAATTTTGTGTTATGTGCTCCTCAACAACCACAAACTGTTTTGATTGTTCATCTTATGGAATTTGCACTGCATGTGATGACAACTTCATTTTAATATCTTTTAAATGTGTTCCACGAAGTTCAGTTGCCAACTGTATTGAAGTTTTGAATTCGAAATGTACAAAATGTTCCTTTTGGTATATCCCTTCAAATTCAAATACAACGTGTTCAACGAAAGTTGTGTGGTGGGTTGTACTACTTGTTGTTATCTTTGTAGTTGATGTGGTAATACTTATTATGACACTTTTTGTGAGAGGAGTAAACAAATATTTGAACCATCTCAAGTCCGAAAAAACACGAGAAAAGTGCTGTTTATTTGACATTAAAACAACAAACATTCACTTCACCAAATCCTCAACAAACGAAGAACTTTTACTCAACAAAACTGAAGTAAATTTCGAGGGAGATGACAAAATTGAAATTCCAGTGTAGACGGAAAGTCGTGAATTAATTTGTGTGGGCAATAATGGCAAAACAACGATTAAAGTGCAATTCACATCTCGTTCGAGTAATGAAAAGTACACATTACATGTGGAGCCACCCATATCGACAATTCCAAAGGGCAAAGCTCTTGAATTTGAAATGTTTGTACTTCCCAAGTATTCTTGCAAGATATCCAATACAGTGGTTTTAATTTCAGTTGATATGAAAACGGGAGTGATAACAGAACTTCCAATTGCTATTAGAGCAGAGACTGAACTATCAAGTCGGCTTGATCCAGAAGAAATCAATGAAGAAAAGAAATTGGGCGAAGGTTCATTTGGAGTGGTATTCAAAGGTAACTTCAGAGGAAATATTGTCGCAATAAAGAAGATGAAGGTGGGTGGGAAAGACAAGAAGTCGATTGAAGACTTTGAAAATGAAGTGTCGATGCTTGAAAAGTTCCGCAGTGAATATCGTGTATTTTTTTGGGGCGGTATTCATCCCAAATAAAATCTGTTTGGTGACCGAATTTGCACCACGTGGAAGTCTTCGTGATGTAATGGATAACAAAAATAGTGAAGAAATAGAAGTTAAAATTCGAATCAAATTTATGATGGATGCATCAAAGGGAATACAATATTTACACAACAATGGGATATTACACAGAGACATTAAACCAGACAACTTGCTGATATTTGGCATTGATATTAACGAAATGGTCAATGCCAAATTGACTGATTTTGGATCATCGAGAAATGTGAATTTATTGATGACAAACATGACTTTCACTAAAGGTGTTGGTTCGCCTGTTTATATGGCACCTGAAGTCTTGAAACAAGAGAAATACCAAAAGAGTGCGGATATATATTCATTTGCAATTACTATGTTCGAGTGTTTTGGGTGGTGTGAAGCGTATCCACTTGACACTTTTAAATATCCATGGAAAATTGCTGAATTTGTGAATTCTGGCAAACGCATTGAAAAAGGTAATAAAATGTCACCTGAATTGTTTGGTATCATTCAGAAATGTTGGAAACAGTCCCAACATGAGAGAATAACTATTGAAGAGGTTGAAAACGCTCTTCAATTGGTATCGATAATTTAAGTGTGTTTTACCTTAATTAATTGAATGAATTCCTTATATATCCATTCGAGTACCTTAGAATCGTTGTTGTTTTTGGAGAAAAATATGAAAAAAATTTTGTTCTAATTAATTTGACAACAAAATGATACAAGAATTTTGTTCAAATTCATGTTTTTTTGGTATTTTTTAAATCGAAAAATTTCAATTGAAATTTCAATATGTTTTCCTCCACCAATTTTTGATTAAAGCAGTAATTAATTGACTATTTGGAATTATTAACAAGATAAAAACCAATAAAAATAAATTTTGTTTTTAACGAATGGTAGTATTTTGATAAAAAACATTTTTATAAAACAAGCAATTCCGAATATGAAAAGCGAAAATAAACTGAAAATTAGATAAAAAAGAATTGTTCGATGAATTTACACATTTGGGTCTCTTTCATTTTCGTTATTTCAATGATATACAAAAGTAATGCTGAAATAAAGTGTCTTCCAAAGACCACACAATGCACCGATGGATTTTCCGTCTTTGGTAATTTAAATGGTGATCCACAGTATTGCTCGACTTTGATAATAAATTACGACTTTTCGATATCCAAAAAGTGTCTTGACATCTTTTTAGTTATTCCTAAAATCGAAATATCAGCTCAGCGTTTGAATGTTACGATAGTTGATAACATCTTTGAAAGTATCACAGATGTCACCATAGACGAACTAACACAAATCACTTTAAAAGGGTTTTTAGACATCTCCAACATTGAAAGACTCAATGTGGGAAAGCTTGTAAAAATAGTTTTAGATGGTAGCACCACATTTAATAAAAGTTTTGTTATACCCGCTTCATGTGTTTTGCAAGTGGATGGCATTTTAACACTCGAAAGCTCACAATTGTGGATTTCATTTTTATCAACATTCTATACAAGTAAGCTCATTTTGAATGGAAATTCCCTTGCTGATTTTTGGGCTATAAGACCTCAAGGCTTTAATAAAAATGGCACTTTTGACATCGAAGTTTTTGGGTCTTCCGCTCTCAGATTTTATCAGTCGGTCTTTGCTCCGAATGGGTATTCTTTATTTCAAACGATTCAGTTGCACGACGAGTCGATAGCCAACATCGATTCATCAGAAGTCTTTTCAAACTTTGTCTTATTTGACTCAAGTGAAATAATTGTGAGTGCGGAACCGTACTACGTTGGAGAAATTGGAGGGGTTTGTGAGTTTCATAACACTTCGAAATTTATAGTAAAAAACGTTGCGACGGTAGACAGTGAAATGATATTTCATGATCAATCTGTGTTAGAAATCAATCAACTTGAAATGGTTGAGTCAATCGAATTTAGTGGGGTGACTTTTAAAAACGATTCTGAAGTGCGGTTTGTGAATAAAGACGTTACTATGAACACTAACTACTTTCTTGTGACATCGTCTTTTTCTTTTGAAGACAACTCGAAAGTCATTTTCTTTAATGCTCGGGTCAATTTCTCTGGGGATTTGAGTTTAATTGGAGAAAGTGAATTTCGTGTGTCTAATTCAAAGGTAAAGGGACAATCCAAATTGATTTTTTATGATACTTCAAAACTTCTTTCAGATGACAGCGCAACGATTAATATGAATTTGATCCATTTTTATAACAGTTCAAGTTATATTGTTGGGTCGGGTGGGTATTCTTCAACAACTCCAATGCTGATATTTTCTGGCCATTCCACATTGAGTATTGCAAACGGTGGACAACTCTTATGTGCGTTTGACGTGTTGACAGAAGGGTTTCCAGGTGAAGTGGTGTTTGAAGACTTCACTTCTGTATATCTAGAGAAAGCTTATGTGAACATCCCATTTTCACATGTTTACATCAAAGATAAAACTGTTGTCACAATGTCCCAAAGCCAATTTCTCGTATACGGAAAATTGCACATTAACGACTCAGTGGAAGTCACTCTCAATACAATGTCTTCGTTTACAATTGACCCTTCTGAGAAACATTCTATAGACAACAAATGCAAAGATCTTATTGAATACACAGAAGAATGTAATGCACTTATTATTAAGGGGAATGTAAAATTTTTCACAGATAATACAGTTAACAAATCCACACCACTTTTGTTTGTTACAAATGGAGGAGCTGTCATTGAAAAGGGTGTTCAATTTTTCCAAACGAACAATGTTTGTATAGATGTAATGTCACATGAAAACAAAATATACAACAAATTGGATGTGTTAAGCAATGAAGGGTATTACTCTTTATCTTCAGGAAGATTACTGCGATACTGCAAAGAACAATACGAAGCAGAAGTTTATTGTTCAGTCTATTTTAAAAACGTGTATGACTCTGAGGCATTCAAGCAGACTTATTGTCCTTGTTATTCAACGGAAACAGAGAAGTGTTATACAATATCACATTACTTTGAAATTCTTTTCTTAGACAACAAAGTGTCGACACAATTTGAAACATATGTTTCGATTATATTCAAGAACGAAACGTCCGAGAAGCAACACATTGAAGGGAAACTGTATTATGTTGTTCTGTGGAGTGGACTTTCTGTTTTGATGAACGACAAGAGTGTTATTGAAAGAGATGGGTATACCGTTTCAGTAAACTGTTCATCAGATAACAACTTTGAACCAAAGAATATTATACAAGTGGATAATAACATTGTCACATTCTGTTCAAAAGAAAACAATGTAATTTCACTTCATTGTCAACTTAATACTTTTAATGTCCAAACTATTCAAATTACATTTGATATGTTGGTTATTGCAAAGAATGGATATTATGTGAATGGTGATAAATCCACATTGTGTAATTATGGAATTCTCACGTCTCAGTCACACAAATGTTTAAGAATCAAAAGTATTGAGTGTGGTAAATACTTTTACCCAAGCAAAGATTTTACAACATGCCTCGCAGGACCGAAGAACTGCACGCGCCCAATTAATAGTGAAAGGTGTTCTATGTGTGACGATGGGTTCATATTAGTTGATGGCATTTGCATTGAAAACAATGATGAAAGTTGTGTCCACACGACACACAACCATTGTGTAAACTGTTTGGATAATGGCATTTCAAGAATGAATTGTTCAAGTGAACATACGCCTTCAAATTGTGTTGATTATTTCAATGATAGATGCTTTATTTGTGATATCAATAATCACTATATATTACAAAATGGGACGTGTATGTTAGCTGAAGAGAGTAAAAGAGTGTCAACAACTTCAATTTTGGAATGTTTGGATGGTTTTTATTTGAATGATGGGGTATGTCACAAGTGCACTGAAAATGTTGTAAAATGCACAAATAGCGCAATTTTACAATGTGACGATTTCTATTATCTCACGTCCAATAAGACATGCGAAAGCTCACATTGCATTGATAAAAACTCGACAAACAACAACTGTTTGGAGTGTGATGAGAATTACGTTATGACGATGCAAGGTATGTGCGCTAAACGTATAAGTAATTGTGTGATCTATAACAATAAATTGTGCATTGAGTGTGAACCAGACTATTTCAATGTTGATGGGAAGTGTGAGAAAGTCAAGTCTCCAGTGTGTAAAATTGCCACAAACTTGGGTTGTTTGTCGTGCGAAGACTCGTTTTACTCAGACAAAAATTTGCGCTGCCAAGCATGTGCTTCAACATGTGAAAGGTGTATTACAAGGTCGAATATATGTTATTCATGTTCTTCGGAAATGTATTTGTCTAATGAGCAGTGTAGTTCAAACATTGAATTGGATACAAAATGTGTGTGGTACACGCCACAAGGAAAATGTCCGGAGTGCAATGATGGGTACTTCTTGAAAGAGCTTGAGTGCTTCCCATGTGATGAGTCGTGTTACACTTGTGTAAACACAAACACCCAATGTATTACATGTGGATACAACTATTTTAGAAATGGGAGTGTCTGTTCTCCTAAAAGTGGTATTGAAGGGTGTGCAGTTGAAGTCACAGAAAATGGATGTTCTGAGTGTGACAGTCACTATTATAAATACATGTCTGAGTGCAAGAAATGTCCTGATATGTGTGAGACATGTAACTCCGACCGGAAGTGCACTGGGTGTAAAAGAGACGAAATTCTTTTATCGAACGCGACTTGTGTGAAGATGAAAAGTATTCACTGCGTGAAGGTAACACATTCAAAATGTATTGAGTGTGAGAAAATATATAAACTTGGTTTCAATGGTGAAAGTTGTCAAGAACGCAATACAAATCTGTTCTGGGTTGTATTTAGTATATTTGTGTTTGTGCTTCTTATCATTGCAACAACAATGTGTGTGTACTTTTCGTTAAAAAGAATACAAACGAATTCACTTCGTAAGAAACTTGGCATCTTTCCTTTAAAAGTTAAAGATGAAGAGTTCATGAAACAATTCGAAAAGCTTTCTGTGGGCATTGTAGTGACGAAAAAGGTACTCAAATTTGATCATGAAGATAATGCAAAGGATGAACAGGGACTTATCCCAATTTGTACAAAAAGTGTTGAAACATTCAAAATAGGAAATGTAATGAATAAGGCCGTGAAGTTCCAAGTCATAACAACAGAAAACAACGAGAAAACCGACATTGAAATTACACCAAATATATTCTTCCTGCGTGCAAATGAAGGTTGTGTAGTCAGCGTTTCACTTACCCCGATATGTACATGTCATATAGTTCAGAGTATAAGTATAGTCTCTCTCATAATGAAAGACCATAATGAACAAATTGACACAATTCAGGTTGACGCTCAGACTGAGTTATCAACTTCCATTGACCCCGATGAGTTACAAATTGTAGAGAAAATCGGAGAAGGTTCCTTTGGGATTGTGTACAAAGGAAAATTCAAAAACAACACAGTCGCAATTAAGAAATTGAGAACCATTGACGACGATGCACTTGACGAGTTTAAAACGGAAGTGAAAATGCTCGATAAATTTCGGTGTGATTACACCATTTATTTCTATGGTGCTGTGATGATAAGAAATAAGATATGTATGGTCACCGAATTAGCTCAATATGGATCATTAAGAGATTTGATGGAGAAGTCAATGGTTTTAGTCCACCCGACACCCAAAATGAAAATTAAATTCATGTTGGATTTGGCTAGAGGTGTTGAGTATTTACATAACAACTCAATATTACATAGAGACATTAAACCAGACAATTTGCTGATCACTTCACTGGAAGAGAACGTCAAGGTCAATGCGAAGATTACAGACTTCGGATCATCGAGAAATGTGAATGCCATATTAATTAATTCGACATTCACAAAAGGAGTCGGAACTCCAAAGTTCATGGCACCGGAGGTGTTGGACAGAAAACATTACGAGAAACCTGCTGATATATTCTCAGTTGGGATGACACTCTATGAAACGTTTAAATGGGGATACGCATATGATCCAGAAAAGATCAAGTCGTGGGACATAGCAGATAACGTGTGTAAAGGACTTCGCCCTGATTTGGATGAGATAGACGAACGAACCAGAAATATCACAAGCAGATGTTGGGAACACCATTTCGAGCGCCGTGCGAAGATTAAAGAAGTTGTTGAAGAGCTTACTCAATTATATGGAAGTCTCAAGTGATTATAATGTTGTATAGTGAATTGAACATTTATTTATCATCTTTTGATTAAACAACAAACACAAATAGAAGAATAAAACTTGAATTTGGTTTTAAGGTTCAATAATTGGGAAATCTGGGAATGGGACCTTAAGTGCTGATATGAACGTGAAAAGGTCTTCTTTGATTCCCTCAACAACTGTTTCTTTTGTTTTTAAAAATTCGTCTTTTGTAAGTTTGTGGACAACTAGTTTCACTAAATCCACTTTGGTGCACTTCACTGAAAGTGTTGGCGATTTGTCCATTTTTTCTCTGTTATTCAAAACAGAGTTTTTCAGTAAAACACTTCCTGTCTCTTGTGTATCAATAAAGTTAAAGTTAATAATAGCACACACATTTTCAACGGAAATTGGCTCCATACAAACTCCCAAAAAGTCAAAGAGGTGATTAAAAGGCAATTTCATGAGTAGTTGTGTGCTTGCAATTTCATTACCTTCATTCGAAATTTGTTCATTTATTGTCTCATTTTTCTGTTCATCTTGTTTTTGTATGTATTTGAAATCATCAAGCTCCTTTGCACCAGTCAAATATATGTTTCTCCATACTGCGCTCTCTTGCATAAACGCATTCTGTCTGTAGACTTCTGCTAAGAATTTTCGAGCTTCAAAATTTCTCGGATTCTTGAAAACAACATGATTTAATAAAGTAATTGCCCATTGGTATTCCCCACTTTCAAATGCACCTTTTGCTATTTCTATACACTTCTCTTCACCTCCCATTGATTCGACATATTTCTCTGATAATTTCACTGGTGATAGTGGGTTCAAGTTAGCTGGATTTCCATCATAGAAACCAAGATAGTATTGATACTGCCCTTTACAATTGTGTTGTACTGTTCCATAATACCCCCGATTATAAAACACCGAAGACAAACTGTGTGGCAATATAACTTTTTCTGGTAACTCATGAATTGTTGTCCCCAAGTTCGCTTGTCTCAAGGTTTGGTCATGGATGTATTTGTACATATCTCTTTGTTTCTCGTAGTACTCGACTATTCTTTTGTTTCCAAAAGTTGGCCAGTCGTGTGAGCCAAAAGAGACTTCCAAATTATCAGAATATTTTGCTAAGATATTGTCAATGTATTTAGCCCAGTCTTTTCCATTTCTCACAACAGCACCTCTTAGTGTATACAAATTGTGTTGAGTCCTATTGATTTCTTCTGCAGTACAAACTGCCTTCAATTGTGGGAAGTACATCATCATTTCAGTTGGGGCTTCTGCATTTGGAGTATACATGAAGTCGACTGTAATTCCATCAATTGCCAAAGTTTTGTCTTCACAAATTTCAATGAGATTTTTAGCATCAAATTTCTGGAAAGTAGATGGAGTGCCATATGATGCAATGGTCCCCAGACCACACCCGACCCAACCTTTCTCACTCTTTTCTAAATAATTTCCAAATTGATAACAACTTCTTCTCCCCATTGCAATTCCACCAAGAAGTTCTTCTGAGAAATTCATTTTGAAAAGATCCTTTGGAACAACTAATAATGTATTTTCTTCTAATACCCCTTCCATCCCTCTTATATGGTCTCCATGTGAATGCGTCAAAATAGTGGCAGTGACTGGTAAATTTGCTACTTTTTCTCGTAACAATTTGAGACCAACAGCGGCTGCTTCAATGGAACACAAAGTGTCGATGACTATCCATCCTTTATCTCCTTTAATAAAAGACATGTTGGCTATATCAAAACCTCTGAATTGATACAATTTGCCAGGAATCAATTCAAAAAGACCATGAATACGAGTCAATTGGCATTGTCTCCAAAGTGATGGGTTGACAGTATCTGGACATGCTTTTTCAAGGAAATCAGTATCATGAACGTTAAAGGCCTTAAAGCCAAAATTGTTCATTATGACTCCGCTATCAACTGAACAGATAAAACCATGGTTTGAATCATCAAAGTCTTGTCGATCAGAAAAATCCAATTCAGTGAGTACTTTGGCATTTGTGGCCTTTACAAAGGAACTTGCCATACTGTGATTTATTTCATTGATGTGCTTTTATATGAAAATTTGAATTAAATTGTAATGAGTATTATAATCCCAATCAGATAGTCTTGTGTGGCCTGTTGTTGAATGATTGAATAATGATAGAGCTTCTCTAAAAGTTCAATTTTGTGAATGTTTATTTATCACCCATTTTAAAAATCCTTGTTACATTTATATTTAAGATTGTAACCCACTTTAATAGCGAAAATTGGAAATAAATCCACTTTATTTCTTAATTACAATATATTCTTGAGAATTAACAATTGTCTAAAAAAATAAAAATAATTTGATAAACAATTTTGACCATAAAATAAAAAGTTACAAATATTGGATAATGATAAAGTTCAAAAAATTGGACATTTTGTTTTTTTATATTTTTAGATAGTCATTTTTAAATATTTGGATTTGGTTGCCAATTTTAATTTTTAAGTATTTAATTATTCAAAATATCAAAGAAATTAATAACTTTAAGATAAAACAGTAATTTTAATTCATGTGATAATTACATAATCAACTGTAGTTTTTATTTGTAAAAATATAGAGACAAAGTAATTATAAATATTTATTTATAACAATTTAATAATTTAAAACAAAAAATGTTTTATCAAAAAATATAAATTCTAGTAAAATCTATAATTACAAATTTTAAATATAATAATTATTAGTAAAGATGTTATAGATTATTTAAGCAATAGAATAGGACATGAAAATAGATTAGAAGCACTTTCTGTGGACGATGGCTGGGCCAGACTCGTCGTACTCTTCCTTGGTGATCCACATGTTTTGGAAAGTGGACAATGAGGCAAGAATTGAGCCTCCAATCCAGACAGAGTACTTTCTCTCTGGTGGTGCAATGACCTTGATCTTCATTGTTGGTGGTGCAAGTGCAACCATCTCCTTCTCAAGTCTGTCGTTGATGCCTGGGTACATTGATGTTCCACCAGACAAGACGATGTTTCCGTACAAGTCCTTTCTGATATCGACATCGCACTTCATGATTGAGTTGTAAGTTGTCTCGTGAATACCTGATGCTTCCATACCAAGGAATGATGGCTGGAAGAGTGCTTCTGGGCATCTGAATCTCTCGTTGCCAATGGTGATGACTTGACCATCTGGAAGTTCGTATGATTTCTCGAGTTCTGATGATGAAGCAGCCTTTTGCATTTCTTCGTTGAAGTCAAGAGCAACATAGCAGAGCTTCTCCTTGATGTCTCTAACAATTTCTCTTTCAGCAGTTGTGGTGAAAGCATAACCTCTTTCAGTCAAGATCTTCATGAGGTAGTCAGTGAGATCACGACCAGCAAGATCAATTCTGAGGATGGCGTGTGGGAGTGAGAAACCTTCATAGATTGGGACGCAGTGAGAAACACCATCACCAGAATCCATGACAATACCAGTTGTTCTACCAGAGGCATACAATGAAAGGACAGCTTGAATTCCAACGTACATGGCTGGGACGTTGAAAGTCTCGAACATGATTTGTGTCATCTTTTCTCTGTTAGCCTTTGGGTTCATTGGGGCTTCAGTCAAAAGGACTGGGTGCTCTTCTGGTGCAATTCTGAGCTCGTTGTAGAAAGTGTGGTGCCAGATCTTCTCCATATCGTCCCAATTATTGACGATACCGTGCTCAATTGGGTACTTCAAAGTCAAGATACCTCTCTTTGATTGTGCTTCATCTCCAACATAGGTGTCCTTGTTGCCCATACCAGCCATGACTGAAACTTGTTTTGGTCTGCCAACAATTGATGGGAAGACAGCTCTTGGGGCGTCATCACCAGCAAAACCGGCCTTGCACATACCAGATCCATTGTCTACGACAAGTGCTTGTACTTCTCCTTCTTCTCCCATTTGAATATTTATTATTTGATTGATCTTTAAATACTATTTTTTACTCAAAAACTTGAATCTGATAAACGATTAATACATAGTTCTTTTTCTCAAAGAATTTTAAGTTTTTATAATAATGTAACTTAATAACTCACAAAATGTTAATATAATTTTGTATAATTATATTTCAATTAATTTTATTTGGCAAATAAATAAAATAACAATTCATTATTATAAAAAAAATGATACAAATAACCAACAAAACATAATTATTTAAGTAATTTGTTATTTTATTTTTAATTAATAAAAAAAATATACAAATTTTTTTTATAATTTATTTAAATTTTTTTCATCACAAACAACTATACTATTTTTACTAAATAGTTTAAATAAATCAGAATTTGTAGTTAAATTTTTAATTAAATTAACTTTATATTATAGATCCTGATTATATTAATAACTATTTAATTAATAATTAAATATATTTATTAAATATATTTATTTGATAGTGATTATTTTATAAACTATATTTATTTAATAAAATATTTTATAATAAGATAAATTAAAATTTTGAAATTAACTTATTAGTTATTAATTAATTAAAGAGTAAATTATTTTGTTTATATAATAAAAAAATTATATTTTACTTTTATTTTTATAATTTGAAATAGATCGAATTATGTTTATTGGATAATATTAAAAATATAAAATAGCACGAAAGCAATCATTTATTTTAATTTATTCGTCATCATTTCTTGGTTTTCTATCTCTTCTTTCATAACCACCTCTTCTATCTCCACCGTCTCTTCTATCACCTCTATCACCTCTGTCTCCTCCTCTGAAACCGCCTCTTCTTTCTCCACCTTCTCTTGGTCTTGAGACATCGACTTTGA